CCGGGGAGCCTCCTGGCTCCTCCGAGGAGCAGGGTCTGGGCTGGGCTCGGGTGAGAGGACGGGGCTGGGCATGGCCGAACCTTTGGGGAATGAGACACCATCAGGAGCCGTGTTTGGAAAGGAGAGCGTTTATTAAGGCACAGGACCGAAAGGCAGGACTTCCCGCTTCTATTTTCAGCTCTGCTAGTGACAGAAGTCGCCTTGGGAGATGATTTTGGCTGAGACTGAGGGATGTGGAAACCCAGAGTGAGGCATTTAGGCTTGTAAATGAATAGCTGGGTTGCAAATCACAGCAGGATTGCTTACATGAATGAAGATGATGGATGCTCCTGGCTAAGGGTGGGTGCAATACGACCATGTCTTTACCCCTGGAAAAGTCATGGCATTGCCAGAGTTTTGCTTCTGATTCACTGGAGATTTAAATTGAGTTGTAAATAGTCCCGTTCTGTTTATGAGGTTCTCTGAGTGTTAAAAGGCATTTGACAATCTCTGTTTCTGTTCGGTGTGGATGTTCTTTCACCTTGGTTTATTGTCATTGCTGCATTTTCATGGCCTTTGATTTGCATTGAAGTTTTAGATACTTGAAAGCCAGTGTTTTAGAGACGCCACAGCAAATGGATTGCTGGGATTGCAGATGGATTGCCCATAAGCATTTTGATTTTATTTTAGCACAATTATCAATGCTTTGTTTACATCCCCAAAGTAATTTTTAAGTGTTTTAAATGTTTTAAGTTGCTTTCCATTGTGCAGCTCTTAAACGCCTGTAGTACAATACTCCTTCATTTCCAGCTTGCTCTTTCTAATTAAAGAAATCATTAATTCCCTTTCCCAATTCCAGGGAAAGCCAGCGAAGCGTGTAACAAGCACAGTGGCTTGTTGCAAGCTTGTGCCACCTTCTTGTATCGTATCCATCTCCATTGCATCCAGGAATCCAGTGGCTAATTATTGCACTGGTGCTCCATCAGAGGAAGCCCAATGTTTTTGCATGTCAGCAAATGTTATTTGAATACAAGTATTTCAGGAATAAATTTAAAGGTCTTTTTAAATTCTTACGTAAATGGAAGTATAGATTCCTTTTGGAAGGCAAACTAGATGATTAACCTGAAAAGCTTTATGATGATTCCATCATATGCTTTTACTGAGGAAAAAAAGAAAAGAAAAGGACAATCTTTCCTGTTTCAAGATATTTTAAGTATTTTTTTTTTCCAAGGGGGAGTTCAGTCATTTATTTTTCCAATGCTAACATGAAGCACATGAAATCTGGATATGCAGATTTTGTGCTGGGATTTATAAATTGCAATAAGAAGCTTGCACGGGTGTTTTAAGTCGTCATAACCTCTGGATGTAAAGCCAGACTTTGGAGGACTTTGGATTTATTAGTATTAGCAGCAGTCAGATTTGCACAGCTGAGTCTTGGCTGAGCTTAAAGGTCTAAGCAACAGGCGTGGGGGATCCTGGAGCAGCAGAAGGTGCTGGCTGCCCGTAGGAATGGGTGGTGGGTGAGAAGATGCGGTGACATGAGGTGTCCTTCTCCAGTGGCTCCAGGAGGCTGGAGCCAGCTTCCTCCGTGCCATCACTCTACGGAGGAGACAAAACTTTGCGCCCTGGCCTGGGTTTGGGAGAGGCTGGTGCTGGCTCCAGCCATGCGTCGGGTAAAGTCTGCTTGGGAGAAGGATATTGTCTTCTCCAAAGCTCGAAGCAGAATTGGCATCTCTAATGTAAAAATCATTAAACGGGATGTAATTAACGTTCCTTATTGCACGTTAACATTACGCAGAGTCAGGCTGCAGACGTAATTTGCTTTGATTAGATATGTAGCTTTAAAAATTAGATTCATCCCAACCTCTACACTATTTATTGGCCTGTTTCGCTTTCCCTAGCTATCCATCATTATCTGGAGCCCTTTCCTGTACTGTCTGGGTAGATTAGGTGAAATTAAAGTGGAGTCAGCCTTCCTGTTCCCCACTGCCCTCCCTCCGTGGGAGCTCAGAGGATACACACCATCTCCGGTGTGGACGTACCTCTCGGCTTTCTGCTTCTACCCCCCTATCCATAGGGGATCTGCAGCTCCTTCAAAGCCTCCCAGGAGCCATACAGACCCCAACCCCCTGAATTCCGTTTCCTTGCGGAAAGGTTTCATTCTCTTAGTCTCCTTTTACAGCCTCCCAGAGGTTTGTGGACCACAGGGTCAAGCAGAGCAGCTGTGCATCACCATGCAGCTAATTTGGGATGCGTGTGCAGCTCACCCTGTGATGAGCCAATGCCTGCATCCCTCGCTGGCAGGACCGTTCCTTACCCGGTGGCTGAAGGTCCCCGTCGGGACTGAGACAGGGGGAGATTTTGGTCCACGTGGGATTTGGCCATGGAGCTCCCATGCTTCATTGAAGAAGCTGGCGCCTTCCCCGTTGCCTCCCATGCTCGGCAGCGCTGTAATTAATGCTGGTCCTGCAAGCGCAATCTGCATCAGATCTCCCTGGCAATGAGAGCCCTGGGGAACGCAGAGCCGAAATTACAGCAGCAGCAGCGAGCTGGCCCCAGGGAGAGGAGGGGAACGAGGGACGAGGCTGCAGCGATGTGCTGGGGAAGGGGAGAAGCGGCACCCAGATGTCCCACTGCCCCAGCAGCACCCTGAGCTGCCCCGTCTCTCCCCGCGTGACCACTGCTTGCACAATCCACCCTTGGGATTCGAAGTGATAAAGCAATTTCTTTTCCTTTCTTTTTTTCTGCCCCATCAATATGTGTCTGGTGACAAATTTAACATACAGGAATCCTCTTTCTCGTGGCGTTTGTCCCTGCCAGGACTCATTGGTTGAGCGTGGCTTCATTCTGGAGCCGTCTGAAGTGGTCACCTTCCCCAACACGGTGTGCAATTCTGCGTCGTTATTGGCACTTTGCTTTCAGCACCTCCTCAGGCATTTTATTGTGATGTTTGGTCTTAAAAATACAACCCTACTTCTTTAATCACAAAACGTAGGATTTTCTTTTTCCCCCGATCCTTTTCCATTATCTTTTTTTGTTTTCCTCTTCTCTTTCTTCTTTCATTGATTATTCATTTGTTTCTCACTCCAACATCGGCATTTGCAGCAAAATCTGGGCCACACCAGCAGCGGGGCTGCCTGACCCCGTCGCAGCTCCTTCCCTCACCGGCGCGGGGCTCTGCCTCCCCTGCCACGGTGCGGGCGGCAGCGGGGTCCCGTCTCCAGCTCCCAGGGCCTGGCCCAGGCAGCTCGGAGGGATGGATGGAGTCCATTTGGCTGCAGGGAAGGTTGTGGTTGGCTTGTTGATAGCAAGGGTTTTAAAAGACCAGCTTGGGGAGAAAAAAATTTTAAGGGAGACCCAGAGAAGACATTAAGGGACATCATGAGTGGGATTGCAAGGGATGTTTTCGTGCTCTCTTGAGGTTGTTTCAAGTCTCTGGATACCAACCCTGGTGTGAGAAGAGGAAATTTGCAGTGAGAAATCAGGCAATTGCCCTTATCTGGTCTGCGCTGAATTCATCTTGAGGCTGACAAAGCTCAGCCTTCGCTGAGCTGACTGGAAAAGTCCCTTACCTCCAGCAGGCAGGGACGTTTCAGCCTGTGGTTCAAATAAATACTTCAAATCCCCCTATTTTTACTTGTTACTGTGATATTAATGGTCATTGCAAAGCCACAAGCACAACCCAGTGGTGTGAAACTCCTTTTCTTTATACAACGAGAAGGAACAGCACCCACCAGCTGAACCGTGCCTTATAAATATTCAATACGCAATTCGTAGGAATGTGAGACAAAGCCAGACAGATGAATTATTTAATGCTTTTAAAAAATGCAGCTTTTAGTTTCTCCCTGTGCTGGCCTACTTTATTGTATTAGTAAATCGATGTTTAGTAAATTAATTTCCCTCCTTTTGTTTGAGCAAGCAGTGGGCATCGCTGGCTGGTGGAAACCTTCTCCGTCCCTGAGCAGATGCCAGGACACCTCTGTAGCTGCGGACTCGGGCGTCGAGTGTCAGAAGAGTCAAGCTCCTGTCATTCATTTTGTGCCTTTTGATTTGCACTAGTGCATCAGTGCATTCATGAACAGCACAGAGGGGGCAGTTCTGGTGGGGACAGCCTGTGAACGGCAGGGTGGTGTGGCGCTTCCGAGTGGGACAGCCCATAGAAGTAGATATCAATGAGACTTGGATGCATATTGTAAGGGGATTTTGAGGATCCCCTATCATCTTCGTGGCAAATAAAAGGCACTGAAAGCTGATACCAAAGCTGGGTCCCCCAAGCTCCCGGCAGGATGGGGTTCCTTCATGTCCTTGCGGGGCTGGGACGGAGAGGCCAGCCCAGCTCCCTCCCCGATGGCAGGGTGTCTCTGGCTTCATACCAAGGTACTAATGCCACCAAGATCACATCCCTTGGACTGGATGAAATCCCTGCTGTGTCCCATGTCTGGCCACAGAAGAGCATCCACCTCCTAGGGATACTACAACAAATCTGGGAAGTTACCAGCCTTTCCAGGCAGTAAAGAGTTAATCTGGAGTACCTGCCTAAAAAAGGAAGGTAAAATCCACCGAAAATGTCCTACCCTGGCAAGGGTGGGAAATGCAGTCCCACTCCTGTGTAACCTTTTGTGGATGAAAATGCATAAGCAGAGCACGAGTGGAGTTTTCTCTGGGTTTGTGTTCAGCCCGTGCTCCTGCTCGTGAGCCAGTCTGATCACCTGTTATCACGTTAATAAATGAGCATTTCCCTGCTTGTTTGCATGCTTATTGAAAGCATGTTGTAGTAAGAGCTGATGGTTCCTTGGGGAAGTAATGTCAGGGGTTATCGGAGCCCCTGGGAGGGGGATTGGATTGGCACTGGCCAAGCTGGGAACAGTCCAGTGGGTCCTTCCATGCACAACCTTTCAGTTATTAAAATCAGGGAATTTACTTTCTCTTTTTACACAGTGTTGTAGCAGCAGCACAGTAAATATGTCCAAAAATGCTCTCTGGACTAGTTTGAGCAAATGTGAAAAACTCCTGCTCTCAAGACTGATGTTCCCTCTCTCTTTATTTTTTATGTTTGTGTTACATAGTTTTCTACTAGTTTTCTCCTGCCTGGTGCTGTCTGTCTTTTCGACCATTGATGAGTACCAGAACAGCTCAGAAGGGGCCCTTTACATCCTGGTAAGTTGGGGGGTTGCAAATGAAGCCATCAGTAAGGCATTAAAACAAAGTCAAAAACACAATAAAAAACTGAGGTTGGGAGTGTTTAACTGGGGCAAGAATTTAAACTGTTGCTTGTGAGAAGGGGACCACTGGGACCTGCAGGTAAGAAATAGGGAAAACGTGAAAAAGGAGAAATCAGTATCAAGAATACTCTGAACAAAATATTTTTAAGGCTCCTTTAAAAACCTTCTTCCTGAACTTTTCTTTTTTTCTGCATTTATCTCCAATTGCAAACCACAGTAGCAAGACTGATCCCAACCAAAAAGCAGTTTGCTGTCCAACAGCTCCCAATATTCAAAGCTGCGGATGCCTGCTTCCCCACACTATAACATCCCTGCAACTATTTGGTCAGACATCAAGCTGCAGAGTTTTGTTCCTTAAATAGCCCGGCATCCCTCGCACTGACAGCGTGGCTTCTGCCATCAAGAGCCAGCAGAGATCCTGCACGCACCGCCACGTCGCGGGGCTACCGGATTCACGCGTCTCCTTGCCTTTTGTCTTTCTTCCTCTCCCCTAGTCCCTGCCCTACATCGACATCAAAAGGCGCTGCAGACTAATTAGGGCTTCGTCAGGTTTGCCAAGTGAGAAAGCTGAGGCAGGTGCCGCTAGGAAAGAAATCAGAGGGAAGGGAGCGGGCGCAGGGTATTTGGGTGGCGATGGAAAGGGCTGCGATGCACATCATCGTGGCGCTCGCTTGGCATCAAGGGATAGAGGACCTCCACCGCCCCTGCACCAGATCGCCCAGCACCCAGAGACAACCCAGTCCAGTTTTCTAGGGAAAAAGCTCAAATACCCTGTGAAGACCTAGATGAGACTCCTAGGATGGAGCAGTCAGTGGTTCCCACCTCTGGTCTTCCCCTGAGCTCCTCAGCATTATCCAAGTCAAGTCCTGGAGACTAACGGTGGGGAGATAAGCAGGTACTCCTCAGTCTTGTGATGGGTGACACAAACACGATACAAGAAGGTGTAAAACTAGTTCACTGTGCAGTACATCTCGCCACCCCAGGGAGGGCGAGGGAAAACACAACAGCAAAGATCTGACCATCTTTCATCTGGGCTCTCCATTTAACACCCCAGACAGCTCTGCGGTATAGTTTCTGAGGCGTGCGGAGTTTAGCTTATGGCTTTGTATTTGATTCTGGAGTGTGCTCTTCATCACGGTTCTTTCTTGACTAAAGACATTGTCTCCCTCGCAGGAAATCGTCACCATCGTGGTGTTCGGGGTCGAATACTTTGTGAGGATCTGGGCGGCCGGCTGCTGCTGCCGATACCGGGGCTGGAGGGGAAGGTTAAAATTTGCCCGCAAGCCTTTCTGCGTCATCGGTAAGACGTGCCTCCCCGCGTGGGATTTCCCAACCCAAAATGGCTATTGCAAGTGCTTGCTTGCACAGTGCTCCGGTTTCTTGCATGCATTTTGGGGGTTGATCCTCAGCTGCTTCATGGTCACCTTGAGAAGAGAAAGAGCACAAAGGCAAAAGTCGTAATCCATGGGTTTTGTTATTCTGCACGAGGGCCACCCTGTTTTCTGCAGATCTGGGAGCCGTCCCGTTGCCCTGCGTACCCCAGACATTGCTGGCAGCCGCCCCCAGCCGCAGAAAGGGGGTTTAGCCGGGAGAAGCTGAGCGTAGGAGCTGGGATCCTGCGATCCTGTGTCCAACCTCGACACCGAATTGCTCACAAGTCATTGAAACTCTCTGTGTCTCGCTTTGCCTTCCCTGGTGCTGATGAGCTGCCTCACAAGGGAGTTATGAGACTTAATTAATTCTTGTTTGTAAAGTACTCGGCGATCCCCTTGTGAAAGGGGCCATCTGTGCCCGGCAGTTATTTTTAACAGGGTAAGGAGTGGGCAGAAAGGCCACGCCATTCGCTATGGAGCCTGCCTTCAAATGTCTGGGAGCTGGCAATGGTCATATGCAGGATTTTAGCTTATTCCCCAGAAAAGCACTCCTATCAAATTTGCATAGAAAACCAGGGAAGAGGGAGGTTTTCGGGATCCTTGAATTTGGGATATATAAAGTGAGGCTTTTTTTTTCTTGGCCTTTCTTTGTCCATGAGCACCCTGACATTGCTGCGGTGGACCTCTAGGGTTTTGTTCCCAATTTATACGGGGGAATTCTGGACAGCACTGTGTAACAGGCAGCTGCAGCTGATTAAAAAAGAGCATGCATTTTGCAAGGATTTGATGCAGTTTAGCAGTGTTAACAAGGAATCATATCAGAATTCAGGCTTTGCAGTATTTGACGCATTTTCTATGGGAATGATGAGCGTGGAGAAAGAAACTGGGATGTTTCCATAAGGTGTGTAGTGGCTCCTTTCAGCCAGGTTAAGATTTCTGCTGTGTCCTTCCAGCACAAGATAGAACCGATACAAGATGTCTTTCCCGCACAGCCTTCTGCTGCCAGTGGCAGTAGGAGTGCCATCCCTTCGGTAGGGATCCAGCAGCATTTCTTCAGCTTTCAATGCCCTCTGTTTGCGCAGACATCATGGTGCTGATCGCGTCCATCGCCGTGCTGGCGGCGGGGTCCCAAGGGAACGTCTTTGCCACCTCAGCGCTCAGGAGTTTGAGGTTCCTGCAAATCCTGCGCATGATCCGCATGGACCGGCGGGGCGGCACCTGGAAGCTCCTGGGCTCTGTGGTCTACGCGCACAGTAAGGTGAGCAAGCACCAAGCAAGGACGTTGCGTCGCTCTTCATGTTTCCTTCCACCAGAGACACCACTTCGGTTCAGTTCTCCACCCCAAACATCTCCCAGGCCTGGGGAGATTGGAAAGACACCGTAGAGTAACACGGGGAGCAATGCGAAGTCGGAGACGTGAGGTCCAATAGAGCCCTTCAAACAGAAAAGGAGAGAAAGGAGGGATGTTTAGATGTTTGCAGGGAATATCTTGAACATAGCAAGCACCTGCACAGCTCATTTCAAAGAGTTAGCAATTAGCCAGCAGCCTCGTTAAGCACAGGTGGTGTTGCGAGCTCTTTGTCTAGGATGCACGCTTCAAAGCGGACGCGTTTCTGAACGCACATCCTGCGAGCAGCAGCCTCTCGCAGACACAATTACTGTGCCGGGTTCCTCTTCCCGACATGAGATCATGGACCAGCCACAGAACCGATCCCTGGTGTAAGGCACTTCGGCCTTTCTCTGGTTTGGGAAGAGTTTGTTGATCATTTTTTTGTTTCCTGCTGCTGAATTTATGAATTTAACATTTCTCCTGTTTCCTGCACTTTTTCCCCTGAAAAGCTTAGCCAGCTTATCCAGAACTATGAAAAAATCATAGGGAATTCATGGGTCTCTTTTGTCCACCCTTGTATTAACTTCATCCAAAACCAATTACTCCTGTGAATTCTGAATTAAAACTTCCCTGAAATTGGGGGATATTTTATCCAGACCCCAGCTTTGTAGCTCCTTCCCAGTTAGTGGAAGGGACCTGCTCTAAGCTGAGTCCCCAGGGATTTGGGGTTCCCATTTCAGTTTTAATCCCACTTCTCTGGGTGAACTGGGGAAATATTTCTTTTTTTTTTTTTAGTCTCTGTTTCACATCTTGAAATAATGGAGCTATTAACACTCCCTTTCCTTCTCCGTTTGCTGTACGTGTTTAGATGATGGGGTCCTCAGGACGGGGATGTCCCCGTGTGCGTGGCAGGGCCACCACCGGTACATGGTCCCATTTCAAAAAATGGCACTCCTGATCTCCAAGCGAAGCCCCAAAGCCTAAACAAATGCAGGGGAAGTTCAGATCCAACCGCAAGCAAGTAACTCAGCTTTTGGAGATGAGCACCAGGATTGCAATTATTCTCTTCTATCCCTTAATGATCTTGCAGGAGCTGATTACTGCCTGGTATATTGGCTTCCTGTGCCTCATCCTGGCCTCTTTCCTGGTGTACTTGGCCGAGAAAGGAGAAAATGAGCACTTTGATACATACGCAGATGCACTCTGGTGGGGTCTGGTAAGTAATTCTCCTAGAACAGCTGGTGGTTATTAAAATAATATGTCCATTAACCCTCCATCTTCTATCACTTATGTGAGGAATTGACTTATGGAGTGCTTAGTTAACATTTTTATTAAATGGCTTCAGGCTACTCCATTTAGCTCTTTTTCTTAAATAAACCCCGTAGAAAATGTTAGGGGATTGCATTTCTTGAATTAGCTGGAGCTGCAAGGAAACTGGGAACTCGTGTGCGCTCAGTCGTGGGATTTAGCTCTGTCACGACAGTAGAGGCAGGTCGGATAAAGACCCCACGCTATGGGATACTTTGATCATAATTTTGACAAGTGTTGCCGCCTTTTAATTATTTAAAATCGTACTTGGGCAACACGCTGTTAAACATGCTGGAATAAATTTTATAAAACTAATAGGGTCTAAGTACCAGAAAGACTTCAGCGCTGAAAGCACTCCCCCTTCACATCTTTGCTGACAAAGGAGGAAAGGGCAATACTTTGTTTGCTCTGTGTGTGCGTGTGCATGTCAATTATTGGATTACCCGATTAACAAAGAGAGAATTAATGACGTTCTAATCTTCTTGCGTTATTGTTCTTCTGCTCCGACACTGCGGCGCTAGTTTGACCTTGATTACAAAGCATGTAATGAAAATCCCCGATCTGATCAAATCCCAATAACAGGCTTGGGGAGGAATCGGCTGATCAAGCAGCTCCTCTGGTCCAACAAAGGGAAAGAAGCAGTAAATTGCTTTTCAAGCCCCTTGGTTATGACAGAAAAATAAAAACAAAGTCCAATTTGACATAACTAGAAAATAAACAATAAGGAAAAAGTGACAGCCCAGATTAGAGCTCAGTCTCGGGAGAACCACGTGCAGATTTATCCCTCTGGCTTCCCAGGCTGTGAGCCTTTGGCAGAGGATCACCCGCCTCGTTTCAGGACGTGGAGGTGTGCCAGACTGTTTTGCCACTGAGGCTCAGAGTAAAATTTGAGCTTCATTAAAATAAAGAGGTTTTGTCATTGTCCAACTCACGGGCCCAGTACAGACAGATGTTGAGAGATGGGCAGAATAAATAGAATTTCAGGTTCAGAAACTCATCCCTTGGTCTGATCTTAGTGGATCCAATCCTTGTAGTTGTCTATATAAATTTTAAAAACTTGTAAACCAACTTTGCAGTGACTGTGGAGAGAGCATTGCTTCAACTTTGTGTTTCAGTAAGGAATAGCCATGTAGATGCATTTTCTAACCGCTTTGTCAAAATGGCATTTAATTGATAGGGCTTTTAGTGGGTCCAATTAAACAGCGCTTTGGGATCGTACTCCATTTGTGTAAAAGTGATTTTATTCTAAGTTGAATGCATGAGGTTTCCAAAGCCACATCAGCAGGGTGCCAGCTCTGTCCGTGGAGGCTGTGGGATGGGGACAACTTTCCACTTGGCACAGGGACCGCTGGGGTCCATTGGGCAGAAGTCTCAAAGAAGGTGTTCCTCATCAGACCATCTCTGCCTGCCTTGCCCTGCCAGTCCCGGGCTCTCCAAATCCTCTCGGAAGCCTCAGGGGATACCCAACATTTGCCACTAGTGATGTCCATGGACTGAAGTGGGAAAATGCATCTTTTCCTGCAGTTTGGAGCTCAGGAGATTCTTTGTCTCCAACAAATCTCTCGGCCCCTTCCCCAAAACACGCACAGCAGCTTGCCAGCGCTGCAATAATACTGAAGAGGGGAAAAACCATCCCTAAATTAGGTTGTATGAAGCAGCCATAATTCATCCTGTCGGGCTAATATGCTGTTTTTAAACAGGAAGGGAGACCAGCTAATAGGTACTGCTAGGAAGATTAGGAATAAACAGCATCAGATATCTTCATGCATGCAAATAACCCTGCCTTCTTTCATGAGATGCCAAAAGGGAGTTTGGGGAAACTGTGCCGGTTTGCTTCCCCTGCCGAAGGCGCAACCCCGTCTCCCGGGGGAGGCTCCGAGCTGCCGCAAGCCTCTGCACCAGATGGCAGCTTTTTCAGCTAAAGGCAAGAAAATACTCCCGACTGGCGTGAAAACTCAGTGTGTGGAGGAGGGAGGGTGGCAGTGCTGTCCTGGGTGTCAGGGCATCGCTGCTCCCCCCAGACGTGCCATCCCGGGTGCCCGAGCTGCACCTCGACTTGGTCAGCTCAGGGCACGTGGTGACCCTGGCTCCTCCACGTCCCACTCCGGTGTTGCGGGAGTTTTCGCCGTGTTGGTTTAGTTTTAAGGCTGTCTAACCGAGGGCTGTGCGGTGGTCTCCTCCCTGCAGATTACTCTCACCACCATCGGCTATGGGGACAAGTACCCGCAGACCTGGAACGGGCGGCTGCTGGCAGCTACGTTCACGCTCATCGGCGTCTCCTTCTTCGCCCTTCCTGCCGTAAGCGGAGGCTGCAGCGTCCCGCTGGGAGGGGGGCTGAGCTCGGCTGCGCTTTGTCCCCGGCCCCTGGAGCTGGTGGCAACGCAACAGCTACGTCCAGCGGCGCGATGCACCCAGGGACCTCCCGACTGCGACCGCTCTGTGGCTTTTGAGTCAAAAAAATAAAGGGGAGAAGAAGGGAAATCATGTCTGAATGCTCGGGGCACAATGTGTATGAGTGAACAGGATGGAAACTCTAGGTTTGGCACTGCACAAATATTTAAGTGAAACCACTTTTTTTTTTCCTGCAAAGGACTGTTCCTAGGGGTTATTATGCCATTTCAGCAAATTACCCCATCCCTTTCGCAGTGCGTTTCAGTGTGTCGCATGGATCTGATTTTCCCCTATGGGGATAATTTGCTGAACTCCAGCACAGTGTGGTTATTTTGTATTTTATCAGCTGGCTGGAGGTAGTTTGGTAAAAGCAGCAATTCCAGGGAGTGCCAGCAAAGTCCGTCCCCCACTGCTGCCTCTTCATGGGGAGTGTGTCTGCCAGGGCTGCCTTGGATGGAGGCTTCTCCTTCCTTCCCCCATACATTTCAAGCAAAAAATGAGCCAGAACAAACCTTTGGAGGGAAAGTTGGCTGCAACTTTTTAGTGAAAACCTAGCTAACGCCTTGCTAACTGCAAATTTTCATTCTCTTCCCCAGGGCATCTTGGGTTCGGGGTTTGCTCTGAAGGTTCAAGAGCAGCATCGACAAAAACACTTTGAGAAGAGGCGAAACCCAGCAGCGGGCCTGATTCAGGTGAGGATCACATCCAAGGAGCCTTGGGGTTACATCGTCCTGATTTTGGGAAGCTTAATAGACTTTTAGAAGTTGGGGAGGAAACGGGCAGGTGAAAAATGGGGCCATGTGTGTGAGGTGTGAGACAGCAGCTGGTGACTGGTCTTGTCTGGGAATAAATGCCAGGAAATCAGCCATGGGAAAATAGCATATGTGGTAGGCAATCTGGGGGAGAAAAGGAACGAAATCCAGCCCAGTGCAGCAAGACAAATGCATTAGGACAGTCTGTTTTCACCAAACTTCCCCCCACCGAGAATATTTATACTGATATAAAGTTACAATTGGGAGCATTTTCTTCATGATAACAGATGTCTGCGCAGAAGGCTGGCCTTGGTGATTTGAAATTAGAGTCATTTGACATTCCCCTGCTCCTCTCTCTCCAAAATCTTTAACTCCCTAATGTGCAACAACACCCGTTTGATAGCTGACCTCACCCTGAGTGAGTGCCTGGTACCCACAGCACTTTCAGCTGGGCTTGCGTGGTCAGGAGAATCATGGTACCACCCCAAATTTGTCATGTATCAAATCAAGGAAAAGGCAAAATGTTGGACCCATCCCACGAGGGAGGACTCGGGGTTGGCTGATGTTTATAAAACCGAGGGTAGTGCTGGCCATGTCTGGGTCCACCATCCCGCTGTGTCTCCTCTGCAGGCGGCTTGGAGATTTTATGCCACCAACCTGTCCCGGACGGACCTGCACTCCACCTGGCAGTACTACGAACGCACCGTCACCGTCCCCATGTACAGGTACCTCCTCCTCAACCTCCCTCTTCCACTGCCTTCCTCGTGATGCCACTGTCTCCATATTTATTTTTGTTACCTGGATATATATTTTTGTTTATTTATTTACTTTTTTTAGGTTGAAAAAGTTGATTTCAAGAGCTCTTAAGGGCTGGTATATGCTTTTTTCTTTTGGAGTTTTTTTGCTTTGGGTTTTTTTGTGTGTTTCTTTTTGACTTGATTTTAATTTCCCTGTTGTTGTTTTTTTTTTTCTTTTTCTTTTTGTGTCTGTGTGTGTACATGCTCTTCTTTTCACCTTTATTTCTCCACGTCCACTGGTAGTTGCATTGTGTTGTGACAGTTGCCGTGCCCAGGTGTGAAGACCTCCCTCCCGAGCTGCCCTGGACCGTAGGTAAATGCCACCCTCCTTGCGCCCTTGCTTGGGCTCTCCTTGCTGCTCCAGCTGGTCTCTAATGGTCCTTCTGCCTTTCAGCAAACTTCTATCCCTCCCTTGACTGGCCCAGCTCTCTCCCCAGGTGCATTTGCCCTGGGTGCCCCTTGCCTTTCCTTTTTTTTCCTCTAAGAGAAGGAAAACCAAATCAGGATTCAGTGGGCATTTTCCCATTTCTTGCATTTCATTTATCCATCACGGTCTGTTGACACGAGTAGGGAAGGACAGCGGAGCCGTGATGGGTGATGCTGATAAAGCACCGCTGTGTTTTAGCAGCATCCATCTGGCTTGCTTTAAGGAGAGGTAACTTGTCATCATACCCAGGCAGCCTCTTCAGCTGAAACGACACAGGTTAGAGCAGGGCTGTGGGAATCCACAGCTTTCTTGGCATTTGGAGCTTCATGGAGATGGGGACAGAGTCCCCTGCCATGCCTCGCTGCCCTCTGGGGCATGGGGAAGCGCTGCATCCCCCATGTCACTCTCGGGGTTGGTGGCATCGAGGAGGAGGCTTCCCCAGAAGCTAAAATGCAAAGCGTTTCCGTTCATTTTATACTTCACACTGCACTGCATCGCGGGCAGGGCTGTGCAGCCCTTTCTGGTGTGTTTTTAGGGGCTAGCCAGATCTCTTTGGGTTTGTACAGGAGTTGGTTAGATATTCCCGTAGCTTCGTGGGGTTTTGTTGGGTCTGATGGGGCTCCCTGTGCCCCATCTCCCTGCTCCCGAGCAGGGCTGTGGTCCAGCACCACGTTGTGCCACTGCAGGTGTGAATCCCGTTGCGTTTTCCCATGTTACTGGTGCCTTTTAGCCCTCGGGCAGACAATCTGGATATATTTCCTAGGGTAAGCATTAGCCTGTATTTGAAACACAGCAGCCGGCCTGTTAAACCATCTTAAAAACCTGTTGGAAGTCACGTTGTCATGGTCAGTAAGTTTTCATTGGATTCATTCCCAGTGTGTGTCTGATCGGTTGCTTTTTCCCTAGAGATTTATGAAGCGGCTTCAAGATTTTGCTTAAAAAAAATCCCAAACCAACAACCCAACAAAACAGAACGAAACTGTTTTCCAATAGCATTAAACCCACCGCCCATCGAAACTCTCCCTCCCAGTATTTGACCTTCTTGCTGAATACTTGCAGCACTGGCAGAGATCAGCTACTGGAGAGGATGAGGACTGGAGCCTGGTCCAAAGTCCGCTGCAAAACGCAGAAAGCCAGGGGCTGATTTCAGTGGACTTTGTCAGGTTTTACTGCTGTTTGAAAGACTGACCTTACCACGCAGCCAGACATACAGTGACACCCTTTTGCCTGAGGACGTACTGGGGTAATTCCTTGCTGCTTAATCTGCTTGTTAAAACCTGTATTTCCCATGGAGCTAATACACAGAAGAAAACTAAGCTAAAGAGCTCTAGGAGAAGCTAAATAAAAACTTTGGGGAGGAGAAAGAGCAAAAAATGCAGTTTAGTGAAAAGCCCAGCTATCTTGAATAAAAAGGCAAGAAGAAGTTGTAGTAGGATCGTAGCAGTTTTGGTGGCTGATGCTGCGGGTGCTGCTCCCAACGCCGGCCCCAAGCAGCAGCGTCACCCTGGGCTTCCCTGGGCACGGGATTCTGCTCTCCCAGCTTCACCCTTAAATCCCAACTCCTGTCTGTGCGCAGGCAAGGTGAACGTCACCTGGGAGGGCGAGCTGTGGGTGCACCAATGGATTCAGCTGTTAGTCAAATTGAATTTTTTACCAAGAAAGCAGTGAACCTCTTTTGAATGTATTTTGGATGCAGTCAGAGAAATTAATTGGAAAAAAAAAAAAATTTTGGAAAAAAAAAAAAATTATATAAAAAAAAAAGGGGGTAACTGTATGTTCTGGCTGCAGCTTCCATCACTCACACTGTCCATCCATCCTCGTCTACCCACTTCACTAAGCCAGCTGGCGGGCGCTGTGCTGGTGCAGCCTCAGCGGCACGTCGAGCCCAGCGCCGCAGTAAGACACTGGCTGCTGGCATGCGGCTGAAACGGGGTTAGGAAGTGGGTTGGAGCAACACAACATCACTCCCTCCAGGGTCCTGGGGGTGATCTGCGGTCACCGCCACCTTGGCACCCTTTCTGCTCAACATTGGGCTGCTTATTGTTCATAGCAGGAGCCCTGTGACTTGAGCTCACCCGTCTTCCCAAGGCATTTCCAAAAAGGCTGGCTGCTTGGTTTGAGAAAGTTGTTACACATGCCTTGGAGGAGTTCACGTGTCTCCAGAACATCACTCAAATCACTGCAGTAGAGCTAGTCTCACTTGTTTGGGGGAAAATATGGTGGCCTCTGAGTAGCTTAGATTTCATCTTTAAATTCAAAATGTGGTAGAACCAAATCTGAAATATGCACAAGGCTCCCGTACGTGCAGGTACGGTTTGGGCTTGTAATGCATGCGTAGCTTGCTGTGTCCAGACATCATAACTTGTAGCGCATCAGCCACTGATGCTCTGAAAAAAAAATCTGCTCTTTATTGTCACTCGTGAGAACAGGGTCTTGATCTCAACTACATCCATGTATTGGTCTTCACTAAAAAACCCCACCGGCACATCATGCCCAAGTCAGCAGCCCAGCCCAAGGAGTCCCTGGCTGATGGGACCGAGGGCTGTGGATGTCTCATGAAAGGTCCCTCGGAGGCTCCCACGTTTTCCCCGCTCTCTGGTGCCCATTTGCTTTCGGAGCAAGGTGCCAGCCGCCTGTCCCCGAGGGTGACACGGGTGCGCAGTGGTTTCTGAGCCCGCCGCAGCGGGAGCGAGCTCAGCCCACGCTCCCGTGCTCACCTGTGAGCCTGGTCCCAGTGCAGCTGCTCCCGGGGGTACACTGCGTTCATATGCTAATTTTCTTTATCCTGTTTCTTTTCCCCTTTCCTCCACCCCACCTTCCCCCCGCCCCGTTTTTCTTTCTCTTATCCCTTTGGTTTTCTTTGGTGAAAACACTTGAAAAGCACGCAAACGCAAACGTACGGTGCCTCCAGGTATGAAGTGCATGTGACTCTGAA